AATAAATCACAGTAAATTGGGTCTCTGTTGGTAGCAAAGGCTAATTATTCCCCTCTTTCATTCCCTTCTCTGTCCTGCTTTTCTATGAGAAATGTCCTCAGGGTCAAATACTCATAAGGTGTATCATTTACATTTTTTCACAGTTCTATTTTTTCTGTCAATGACCATCACAATTTTGTCATCCAGAGTTGAGCACTGATGACTGACATGAGTGTGACATCCTGACTAAAATAATAGCTACACAAAGGTATGTGGCCTACTTGTGGGCTCAGTTCTGTTGTGATCAAATTTAAGCTGTCACAAAAGGGAACCATCTAACTCTGAGTCATGGTCAGAGTTTAACAAGATCTCTGCCTCAAAACTATTCAGTATTCTGCATCCTGCCCATCGCCACTGTGTGGTTTGTTTTTTCTGAGAGCCAAATCCCAATTCTAAGCAATAACAGTATGGTGAAAATTGTCACAATAATTACAGTTTGTAATGTTTTTTTTCTGTTAGTACTCACACTGAGTTTTCAGCAGGTCTTTAAGATTTTCATTCAACACCTCTCAAACTGGCCTGAGGAAGGGAACCTCAAAGCTTTTGGGGACTGTATGAAATGATCCTTTTTTTATTCACATGCACCAAAGATTTTTGAAAAATTGCATGGAGCATATGCTCTCTGACGATCATGATAAGGCTGGTCTAAAGAAAGGTACTTTCCAAGTTGACAATGTGAAAAGAAAAAAAATGGCACTCTCAGAGCAGCTTCAATAAGGTGATAAAACCGGCACAGTTAAACTTCTCATTTACACTGACATATGGGCTTTTCGCCTTGTGATTTCAATGAGGCAGAAAACCTGACAGTCTTAAAAAGGAGCATAATTTTGTATCTAATGGACCCTTGTTAGACAAGAACACGCTCTCCAAAGCATTCTGGTTATTTCAGACTATATTTCTTCTTCACTTCTGGTATATTTTTAATGAGCAGAGGGGAAATATTTGTTATTGTAAATGTGCTCTCCTACCCCTGCGCATTCCCCCAGTCTCCCCACTCCCACTAAGATAGCATTATAAACCTAGATTCCCTTTCCTGATGTTTTGAGATACAGAGCGCACATAAACGCACACATTGAAAAAGGTTTTTACAGTTTTCAAATTATACTATGATTTAGTTTTGTGATATTCAACTGTGACATAAAGATTTTACTTTTCCCAGTTAAGCAACAATCGAAAGCATACCCCATTTCATTACAATTCAATTAAAACTCCCCAACAACTGTGATGGACAGCTTTTTTTGTGTTCTTAATTACCACTTTTCCAACCTGAAGTTAGTCATTGATTTAGAAACCACGGCTCTGTGAAGTTGCAGCAGAGCAGAAAGCATATAATTGTCCCTGACATCGTTAAGATGCTTAAGATTAGACTTTAGCACACAATTCAGTCCTCACATTATCAAACCCAACATCTCTCTTTCTCTTCTCTTTCTCGCATTTTCTTATGGCACCCTCAATATTTATGCCAACTCATGTTGACACCTGCATTCCTACTTTTCTGTCAAAAAGGTTGCAGGTGACGCACAATCTTCTTAGCTGTAGTTATCACACAAGAACGTAGTTTGTCATTTCATGTGACTGCATTATGGCCAAAATATAGAACGAAGATATGCCACAGTCAAGATAGAGTTCTTCTCACAATGGTTTGTCAGCACACTCCTCATCACTGTGTTAGTGTGGCAGTAAAGACATTATGAGGTCTCTCCTCAGTCTCTCTTAAACTGCAACATCCTCAGTTCATTACAGATTAATTAAATGTCAACATGCAAGAGTATTAAAATTTGCTTTCTTCTGCACTAGTCAGAATCACAGGATTTGGAATTCTGTTTGATTTAGTGGGGCGTAGATTTTAGGACCCGTTCGGAAATGTTAGTTTTGAAGAGCCACTGGAGGTTATGCGCGAGAAGATTGCATCCAAATGATTTGTCACATAAACATTGCCCCAGTTGTGTCTGATGTATTTTTCATTCATTCATTTAATTATTTATTTTTTGTGGTACGCAAAAACTTAAAGTAGCGTTGTGGGGCTCAGCGTCAGCGTCTTATTGGTTGGTGCACTTGTACATTCCATAAGTCCTTTGTTTTTCAATAGGTTATGGTTTTCTATGTGATTTTAACACCAGATGAGAGAGTCACATCTCACTTGGCATGGTTATACCGTATTCATTCAACCTGACCCTGATATGAGAAAATATTGACATCTGGGTGCTTCTCATGTCACCTTCTACAGTAAGCTGTTGTGAAAGGGAACAGTTGTTTGCTTCTGTGTATTTAGGATCCAAGAAAAGTCTGACGTTGAGAAGAATTATCAGTCTAAGAGCTTTGTTGAAAGACTCTGGGGAGAAATAACATCTATGTGACAGTTTCCCAGCTGAAGACGGTAAATATTAAATGTATTCTCTTTGTGACACAAATTCTGAAGAAATGGCTGTGATCACAATGCAAGATTATACAAGATATTCCTTCTTCTCCGTATGTATAAATATCAGACAGGTATTCATGTGACAGGTTACATTATGCAAAGAAAATAGTAATTACTTTCAAAGTATGTTTGTTCTTTGTTGTTAATGGCTTCGCCTTTCAGGCAAACAAGATCTTTTTGAGTAGGGAACCAGACTGCAGGTAATTACACTATTGTTAAATTGAATACAAATTATTTCATTATAGCTACATTTGTCTGCTCAGACTGGCTTCTGCTGCTCTCAGGCTTTGAAGATAAGTGTATATTTTCTTCTGCGCTGCAGCCATTATTCACTGAAATGCATTCTGTGATCTTTTCTGGGTGAAAAGAAAAGTCACCAGGGGCTTCAAAAGCTTGCCGACATGAGCAACATGTCAACAAGTCACATACATGCTCAGCCATCTACACAAAAATACAACCACATGCTTTTTCTTTTTGTGTCCATATTTGACAAGTGAAAGATATCAGTAACTAGCAGGCGGTGTGGTGGTGTGGCTTAAAACAAGACAGGCGAGAATCAGTGATGGGGAATGGGCTCGTGCTGGCTCATGGCCCCTTTGGGACACCATATTGTGCTGTGATGCAGACAGTGGAAAATGCTGCCAACACGCAGCAAAGCTTATAAAGCACTGTTTTGCTTTTATTTGAGTTACGCAAACTTACTCTTAGGAAACAAGGATCACCTATTGAATGCTCAAATGTTTTTTTTTCACCTATGCCACAAGCAGCTACGGGTTGTTTCTAAGATTTCCATGAAAGGACGATATTTTAAAAAATTCTGTGTCCATTCCGGTGGGACCTCACAGCCTGCCTTGGAACTGTAAGTACTGTCCCTCCATGGCACCAAGGGATCAGTTTCTGAACCTATTTAAGTCATTTCAGAGGAAGTTCATCATTGTGGAGCCATGTATGTAGGACACCGTCAGGGCCAGAGGAGCTGGCTAGAAGCCTGTTTATCCCACAGTTTGGTTAAAGACTCTAGGATAACTACTTTTGTGAGTTCAGCAGAAGGCTTTTTGGGCCATCCTGGCCATTTATTCAGGAAATGTTTGATACCTTGGAGATGGAGCTTGGAGCTATTGAAACTGATGTCACAGACGAGCCAAACTGTCCCACAGGAACGTGGTAACGCGCACCAAGTACAAAGTGCTAATTAGCATTTCTCTGCAGGCTGATTTTGTTCAGCAGTGTACAATGATAAATCAAGAAAAGATAGTTATTGATCACTTCTGACAACATGGAAAAACTCATTAAACTAAAAAAATTACAACTAATTATTGACAGCTCTAATCATTTAGTAAGAAAAATCTGAGACATAACTGTCAATTAACTGTGTTAATATTTTATATGATGCAGTCATTTGTTCAAATATATAGGTTTCCTTTGCAGTGCTGTATTTTACACTCAGTTATTAAAAAATCAGACTATTTCTGTTCTGAACCTGTTTAAAAAAAAATACAGCGATTGATTGTGCATCTGTTCAAACTGTGGAATGACGCCAGTCATATCTGTGTTTGCGTCAGTGCATACATCCCAGCATGCCAGGATTGAAAAAAGCAAAACATGTAAAGTCTGTAGGACTGTTTTCACAATGTGTGTTCACAATTCATCAAAATTATTTTTCACATATAAATAATAGAATAACATCTGATAATAGATTGCCTTTATAAGGCTGCAGCAGATTCATGTTGTTGTATTTTGATCACAAGTATGATTTACCAAGTGTCTCAAACTACATTTACTTGAAAGATAAAAAGCAATTTGTAGATGTGATTTATATTTGAGAGCTTGGGTAAATTCATTGTATACATTCAAGGCGCGTTTAACTCAAGTAGTACTCACCCATTTCCTTGACTCGCTCTGCTTGCTTTATTAATATTTGAAAAACTCCTGACTTACTGATATATATTTTAGGCCCATACAAATTCATGATATTTGTGTAACTAGTTTTTCCCTCTCCATTATTTTTCAGATGTAAATGGAGAATCAGCTGCATCACCAGGAGAAACTGGACATCAACACAGTTTCAAAGTGCTTTACATTAAAAAGCAAACAGCATTCCCCTCTGTCTAAAGTCATCCATTATTGACAATTAATGTCAAACTGCATGCTGGAGCAGCTTAATGCTGCCTCTCTGGGTGGAACATCACTAATGGAAAGAAACCCTTATGAGATCCAGCTCATCAAAACGCACCCAGGAGCAGCATAATGCCTTCAAAAGTGTCATGTTTGTACTTGCTGACCGTGGTCTGCTGGGCGAGCGCTCTGTGGTACCTGAGTATTTCTCGCCCAACCTCCACGTATGTCGGCCACATGTCTGTGCCTATACGGAAGACTGTGAAACCGCTCAAGAACTTCACCTTCACCAACATCCACACCCGGCCCCTCAACCCACATGCCTTTGAGTTTGTAATCAACGAGCCAAAAAAGTGCGAGAGCGTCACACCCTTCCTGGTCATCCTTATCAGCACCACGCACAAGGAGTTCGACGCGCGTCAGGCCATCCGGGAAACCTGGGGCGATGAGAGCACCTACAGCAACATCCACATTCTCACCATCTTCCTGCTCGGCAGGAACACGGACAATGTGCTCAACCAGATGGTGGAGCAGGAGAGTCAGATTTTCCATGACATTGTGGTGGAGAACTTTATCGATTCCTACCACAACCTCACCCTCAAGACCATGATGGGCATGCGGTGGGTGGCAACCTTCTGCCCCCAGGCACGATACATCATGAAGACGGACAGCGACATCTTTGTCAACATGGACAATCTGATCTACAAGCTCCTCAAGCCCGCGACGAAGCCGAGAAGGAGGTATTTCACTGGCTATGTGATAAATGGGGGTCCCATCAGGGATATGCGCAGCAAGTGGTACATGCCCAGAGACTTGTATCCTGATAGCAAATACCCACCTTTCTGCTCAGGCACTGGCTATGTGTTCTCATCAGATGTAGCTGAGCTGATCTACAAGACTTCGTTACACACAAGACTGTTGCACCTGGAGGACGTGTATGTGGGACTGTGTTTGCGTAAGCTGGGTATACACCCTTATCAGAACAGTGGTTTCAATCACTGGAAAATGGCTTACAGTCTCTGTAGATACCGGCGGGTTATCACCGTCCACCAGATCTCCCCAGAGGAGATGCACCGCATTTGGAATGACATGTCCAGCAAGAAGCACCTCAGATGTTAGGGGACATGCAGATCACTGAACAATGACTTTGTTGTTTTTCCTCCTTTTCATGCATAGAAAAGAAGAAAAAGGCCAATAATTATGTTATAAACGAGTGCTGCTGGAACTCTCTATTTTCTGACTGATGTCAACATCAAATCCATTTACATGTTTTTTTCTGTACAAGTCACGATTGTTCCTGGATGCATGAGGCTTGTAAAGTGTATATTCCCATGCAAACTTAAGAGCAGAGTTGTTACAGAAAGTTTGATTTATCTGTGTTTGTTTGTCTGTTTGTGTGCAACAACATGTTTTGTTTTTTTATAAGAATGAAGTCAATCAGAGATTAAAATCAATTGGTGTAATGTAACTGCTGGGAACAGTGTTTCACTTTGCCTGTCTTGGTTCAGGCCCTCAACCTGACAACTTTTTGTCCGTTTTAAGTGTCCTTTTTTTCAGGAATCATTTCCAGCTTCATGGATGCTGACCCAGCACCCAGATTCTCTTGCTGGAGTACAAGCCAAAAAGAATGAAGTAATCAATAAGGTACGGCATTACTTAATATCATCCCTATGGAATATCTTTAAGAAACCATGTAGAGTGCCATAGAAATAAGAATGTAACTCCAAGTCTAATAAACAGGCATCTACACTAATGCTGCTGTCTCCTTTTTCCATAGTTTAAATTAAGTAGAAAAATAAGCTGCAAATGTCATCAAAACCAAAACCAGTTGAATTCTAATTATGAAATGACATAACCTGACAATTTCCCAAAACATATTGGACTTGCTCTTTTGTTCTGAAAATGCCTGATGTTTTTGTTTACATAGCGCCGTCATGCTATTGCCTTTTCTCTCAGTAAAAGTTGTGTGCATATTTTGGTTTTCGGTTGCGTTTCCGTGTTTTTCCTGCTGTGAAGCGTTCACGCTTGGGATAATTACACTTCTCAGCTGCCAGCATCTCATTACTGCTGCTGCTCCTCTGGGTTATGTGTGCTGTGCATCAACAGCTGTTTCAGCTCATCAGAAAAATACTGTGCTGTGTTATATAAGTCTCAATTTGATTGTAGGTAAGGCCAACAAAGAATGGATGTATTGTCATATGTATGTGGGAAATCAGTGACAATGGAAGCACTTCTACCTACATCATGGAAAATGTTTTGAAGAAAATGTGACTGAGAGAAGCCAGGTTTTGTAGTATTATAAGCAAATGTGACATTTACTGTGAATGCTTCTATCCCACAAAGGGTTGTTGTCATATATTGTATGTTTTTTATATATATACATATAAAAATACTTGAATAATTCAAATTAAAGTACTGCTTTTACTTGTTGCCTTCCTCTAGTTTTTTCAGTTATTTGGTTGTAGAGGTTCATGGGCCTGCTGCGGGTTGACGCATTGTGCCATCCTTTTTTTAGGCACCCAACACACGTTATTTTAAAATGTGTTTAGGATTTTTCAGGCATTTGATATTAGGTGGGTGACTGTCATTCAAATGACTCTAGTTTGGGCTCTCACATGCACTAGCTTGAAGAATTGGCACTGATCTTAATCCAGTCTGCTGGACTGACAGTCTTATCTAAATTTTAAAAAGTCAGAAGAGAAAGGAGCTTAATTTTGACCAACAAATTCAGATTTAGTAGGCAGATAGTAGAAAACACTTTACAGAATTTTTAAATAACTGCTTTATTTGTTGCTCTTCATCAGAAATTTGAGATTTGCTGATTACAGAGAGGGAATGGGTAATATGCTGAAATGATACACATACTGTACAAAGAAAACACAATAAATTACTTCATAAAATAAAGATTTTAGAGAAGTTAATATTTACCACCTCGATACCTAAAAATAATTTAGAGCTACCAGACTTGTTTGGACAAACAAATGGCTCATCACACTTCTGTAGTTGCCGTTTGGTTCCATCTTCAGATGCGATGTCATACAGTACAATTGAGTAACTAGTACACTTTGAGGAATAAAAATTCAACTGTTGCGGTTTTGTAGATTAGCCTGTTTTCTGAATGCACATCAACCAGAATATATTACATGACTTCGGGTTCTGTCAGGTTCAATTTACCAAATGCAATGCTCATCAATTAACTTTCCTCCAGCGGCGAAGCGTATGCTCAGACCAAAAAGTGCATTTAAGCTTTTCTGGCTCATTTAAGATAGTTCAAATGAATTGTGTCATTGTTGGAGTGAAACATTGGTGAAATGGTGATCAGCAGGTTCAGCTCTCTATGTGGTATCTGTCTTTGACAACTCTCTTAGGCACAGAAAAATGAACAAGGCACCTCTAGCAGTTTCGAAGCATTAACACTGTTGAGAGCAGCAAATTATACACAGTAGCTTCCTGGTCTCGTTTATTCCAGCACACTTAGACAAACGCTAACAATCTTGGTGGCGTGAAACAGGTCTTGACACATAAGCTCACTCTCTTTTCAGACATTCGTTATGTTATGAACATGTGCTTCTCCTGATGAATTAGCTGAGTCTTTACATTCTGACACCGACCTCTGAGAATGAGTGCATTTGTGAGATGTGAGTCGAAGCAAACATGCTTTGACTGTGGCGTGACAAAAAAAAAAAAAAAACTCAAGTTTCGAAAAATAGCTTTTCATTTCCATAAATAATGAGTTTTGCTGATCACAGCAGTAATGTGATGTGAAGCACAAAAAAAATGAGTAAAATAAATAAATAATGGAAACATTCGAAGCTACATCTTAATCCCCTTCTATTACCACCTGAGTACATCTTTTGGTTCCTGCGCTGTGTCCTGATCCTGGTCTGTGCGCTGGGTGGTGGAATGTAAAGGTTAGAGGTCGGGGGACACTGGGCAGGAAAGTCGACGCTGAGGAGGAGTAGGTGGGGCCGAGGAGTGAGACAGTGAGGAGAAGGAGTGGCTTTTCGGGGAAGGTGCTGGGAAAAATATTGAAGGAGGTGGCGGTGTTGTGTTCCTCAGTCTGTCTGCCCTGAACTGCCTCCCCCGGCTCACCTGCTTCAGGCATGAAGAGAGCATCAGCTAACACTTAGCTGTGCAAAGCCGATCAACTTAACCTCATCCGGGATCTCAGTGTCATCACAGCTGGAAGCCTGCACGGGGAGGAAGACGGCGAAAAGATTACTCACAGCCTCATCTGACAAGCAGCGCAGCTCAGAAATGTAACAGTTCTTAGCTTAAAGGTTCGCCTGATTATTTGTCTGATCCTCAGAAGGACAACAGGGCATTTTAACCAGAATCTCGTTTTACTTAAAGGGGAAAATAGCATCACTGCTTTTCTTTTAGTGTGACATTTTGGCCCTCTGTAGGTAATAAAACAAACTGCAAGACAACTTAGGCATTATATGTCCTCAGGAGATGTCAGAGCTAGAAACCAAGCAGACACAAACCAATTTTAGTTTCAATCAGGCGCTTCATGTGGCAGGTTTTAACTCGTCACTATGCCCTTTCCTGTTACTCACTCAATTAATTTTGTGTTTTAGCCGATTCACAGTTCTGTCTGTAAGACACTGAGAAAAATATAATAAGAGGCAATGATTTTATCCCTCAGAGCCAGCAGCTGATGACTTTGAGGAGAACCTATGCAGAGAAATGTGTTTTTCTACCCAAAGGCAAGAGATTTGTGGAATAGAAGTGTCTTCTTTACAGCATTAAAGCACTATGTCAGTGTGGAAAGGGTCGTTGTGTGAGCCGGTTTCTATAAGGAAAGCATTTTATTATATTTGCGTAACACTTGAGGGTGAATAATTCATATTTTTACATCTCTAATATTTCACTGTCGCCACTTTGCTCGTTTGAAGCAAAGCGTGATTCTTTTTTTTTTTTAAACTACATTTGAGAAGCAGCCTTTTTTTTATGAATTCCTCTGGAGTCTGACATGTTTTGGATCAGTGGTATTTCCTTTTCAGGCTACAAAAAGCTTCACTCTAGTGCCAACTCAAAGCTTCACAGTCATGTGACTGAATGAATCTGATGCTTATTATAGTGGTATCAAAGTAAAATATGTAGGTTAATTACATCTGTTCAGTCCCTCAAGTATTTTCAACAGGGTCAAAATCATTGTCGGAGATGTAATTACCAAAGACTGTAACATATTCAACATGTACTGTACGCATACAGTCCAGTCCACAAATCTATACAAAAGCACTTAATCTAGCAATCTATTAACTAAAGCTCTCCTCCTCATGCGCGTTTAGATTCATCTGGGTGCTCTGAAAAAAGTTTTTTATTCACCTGTCCTCAAGGAAAGTCAGGTCATGGGTTGATGACTCAGCACCTGCTGACCTCCATCAATTCACACCTTATCTGGCAGAGACACTCTGACACTCTGGGGGTCTACAATTGTCTATCAAACACTGAGGCTGTGTTATCAAAGAGGGTTGGTTTTTGTGAGCTCAGAGTCTATAGTGATCTCTTGCTCACTTCAACCATAAAGCTGCCACAGTGACACCCAATCCATAAATTGTGTACATAAAGCATTATGAACCGTTCCCCATGTGGGGGTAATTACTCTCAGTCCCTGGGTTTTATGACACTGCCCTCATAATTCTACAAAGGGCATGGTGAAAACGCAGGAGGATTTTACACTGTCTGCAGTGACGGAGACTTAGCAAATCGAAGCATCCCCTTTACATTTATGACATGGAAAACTGAGGTCAAATTCCGACTCACCAGAGATTTAAAAAAGAAGTGACACTGTGGAATGTTGTGACCTGCTGCACAGACTCTGCTAAACTATATCTATGCAAAGCTCAATCAAATTTTATTTGCCTACAATGTTTTTGTTTTATTTCCTTATTATAACATTTGTACAGGTTGAAAAGCGCCAAAAGTACCTATGCTGTAAGATCATAAATACGCTGTAACAATGTGTCTGTGGTTCCCATAATGACTCGCCACCATCACTGCATTCAAAAGTTAGGAATCCACATTAGAGTTGTGGAGAGCACAAACACATAAACTAAGCAGCAGTGTCAATCAAGATTTAACAGGATGCATCGCAAAGTGCAGCCGGCAGAAATAAATCATTCCTGGAGCTGGATGAAAACTGTGTTTGACCCAGAGCATTTTCTGTGTGCTGAAGATTCTGCTGCCTCTTTCCAAGGACCCCACACAAAACCTTTATAGAAACCGGGAAGGGAAGAACTGTGAAGATCTTCAAATAGAGTGTGTAAGTCTTGTGTTTCCTAAGGTGCACATTGATTTACTACATTGCTTCTAATTTCTTTTCACACTGTTGTCATGTTAACTTTTTTTAAAACTACGTGTGACAATGTGAAGATGTTTCAGGGCTGGAAGTATAGATACAATTATTTCAATAAAGCACTCAAAGAGTTAAGACCTTTCAAGAACCACTATTCTGTCCCTGTTAACCTGGAACTTTTTTTTTTACTGTCTGAGAAATGTGACAGATGCTGGTTCATACAGAAGCTTTTTGAGTTGTCTGAGGGCTTTCTAGTCCAGATTCATCAAACCATGCACCAGGAACCTGTTTATGTCAGGTAAATGGCATGGATGACAAAAGAAAGATTGAGTGTTAATTATCATCTTACCAGCTTAAAGGTCAATACTTTGTAGGTAGTTGGGTCATCAACGATCTTTTGAAGGTTAGCAGCAACTGTGACAAGAAGAGTGTATCTCAGTTCAAATTCAAGTTTACAGTATTTAGGGAAATTCTTAGAAGTATTTAGATATAAATGTCAAGTTTAGCCATTTCAGGTTCTTTGGTCTTCCCAAATTATATAAATTTACCTTGATACCATCTTTTAATTTAATCCTGATTAATTAAATGTTTACAGTACATTTGATTATTCACTCAAATATCATATTTTCTAACAATAAAATGGTGTAACATTACCAATTACAACATCATGCCCATTGACCAGGCCAGCAGAGAAGAGTTCCTGGGAGACGCCATCAGCAGTGTCTTGTGAGGGAATAATATGACAAATATTGGCCCGGCAAGATTCCACTTAGCAGGTAATTGTGTTACACAGTGAATTAGATGCTGCCCAGAACATATTGCCAGCATCCATTCAACACACATCGACTGATACGGCCAGAGGATGTTATCACAAAGGGAATAGCCTATTAGAAAAATTCATTTAGCCTTAGCTTTTACCTCGCCCCGGGGTGAACTCAAACCGGATGTCATTCAGCTCCTTCTTAGAGTTCCTGAAAGAAGAATAATGTGTCTGTGAGTGTCAGTGGTACATTAAATCAAGCAAGAACAAATGCTCAGAATGGAACAGCTTGAACAGAAACAGGGCTCAGCAGCAGCACGTCAGCTAACAAGCAAGACATCATGTCTGGGCGAACAGATGAAAATGATATTTTTAACTAAGATACGGGAGAAATGCTAAAGTCCAGGAGATATGGTAGATCAGCCCATCTCTGTGCCATATAAACTCATCATGACTCTTTTTTATTTGACTTTCCACGAAAAAGACCCCCCATGATCGTATATAATATTTCCTGCTGTCAGTCTTACTCTCAGGTAACACGTCATTTAATCTGCCAATCAGGTTTCTCATTCCATCTCCAAAATAGATAAGAAGCTTTGCAATCCATTCATTTATTAGCAACACCGTATTGCAATCCATCTTTTCCATTCACCCCCCCCTTTTATTTCTTTGTGTTTGTGTATTTTAGCAGCGATGCTCAACAGAAGTTGACAATTACTTATATCTTAATGACTCCACTAAATCAGGTGTACAGGCATATCAGCACTTTCCATAAATACGACGTGCAAAGTAATAAGCTTGATTCATTTAGAAGAAAACTAAATAACAAAATGAAAAGAAAAAAAACATTATTTCTTTGTCATTTCCCTTGTTTGGAAAGCCAGAAAGGTTATTTTCTTTTATCATACATATGTCTGAAAAATGACCTGGACAAATGAATAGCTACCCACTATCAATCAGCTTGCATACCTATTCATTAACTATAAAGAATAACAACTCATTGTTTGCAAGCTGCACAACTGAAGTTGTGTTTGTTTATCACCTGATAAATGTAAAGTTATTCACTCGCTTCTCTGTTCCATTTTAGTCTCCTCAATTCCTGAGGGGATCATACATCTCCGCCTTCCAACGCTAAATGTAGCCACATGTTCAAAACTTAGCTCCTAATCTCATCTGTCTTCTCCTTCCTGCATAACAAACAGAAAGCAATGTTTTCACTTTGCAGTGAAGAATACAGTGTCAAAAGGCACGCAAAAAACAATCAGAGGATGTTAAAAAAAAAACTGGGGTTATGAGCACAATATAAGTTGAGAAATTACTATAACAAAAATCTGATCTATTGATGCCATGTGTAATAAAACTTTCCATAAAGTTCACAGCTTAAGGTGTAATGACTGACAATAATCACTTTAGGCAACCCATCTGACATGGTGATGGCAAACAAGATTAAATAGAAAAGTAACGGCATCTACCATAAAAGCACAGCAGCAGTAGGAAATATGTTGTTGATGTCATGGAGCAAACTACGCAAAGGACATGTCTCATTAGTTTTCAACATTCTGAACAACTTGAAGGCAACAGCTGTTTAACTGACTCATGCCTCCATCATCCCTGCTGCCTTCAGGGAAAAACTATACTGTAGTGCTATAAGAAGGAAATAAAAACACTTGGCAAAAGCGTCCCATGGAGAATTACAGAATGTGAATGTGAACGATCAAGCATGATTACATTCAGCTGGAAGCTTCTTTGCAGCGTCGACTCGCATTATTTTGTGTCACACACAGTGAAAATCTGTTTCTGCAATGTGTGAGTTCTGTGGGAACGTCTCTTTCATGGTAAAGGCAGGACGTGACAGTGTCAGGCACCAAAAACAACTGCTGGAAGAAGATTGATTTAGTTTGAAGTCCAGCAAAATAAATCACCCAATCAGCCCACAGTCATCATTTTCTAAGAGACTTGTCAAAGAGTCAAAACATGCATCATTCATTTCTTTATGTAATACCACTTAACATTTTTACACATTTTTCCAAAGCTAATGATACAACAATGCGATTGACTGGCAGATTGTTCAGCGTGTACCCCGCCTCTCACCCATTGACCACTGGGACAGGCTCCAGTCCACCCCACGACCAAAGTGGTTCAGAAAATGGATGTATGGATGACACTACACGTAAATCATGTATTTTATAAATACTCTCTAATGCCAGAGGCCAACAAACAGAGAGTTAGTCTGTGATCAGGTTTTAGGACAATATATAGATGTACAAGGTTTCTGTTTTGTTCCTTTAACAGACACACAAACGGAAAGTAGTGCAGATAATAAGATTCTTAAATGAAAAAATATATAATCATACGGCTGTGCATGGTGTGGGGCGATGAATTTGTACAAAGGATAGCTGATAAGAAGCTCACAAAAAAAATGTCATCTTCAAGCTTATGTGTAACAAAGGCTCACATAATACTGTCCCACTGTTTGTCCCAAATTCCTAAATTCCATAATAAAGTGGCATATGTGAACGTCTGGTTAACCTTTAGATAAAAAAGGCTGTAGAAACACAACAAATGCACTTTATCACAAAGCTGCTCCTTTTCTATTTAGACGATTTTTCATTGACGCCGCAACAAATGGCGATCAATGTATGCATTTCCCCTTTAAACTGCAGATGCAGCCGCTCTCAGGAGTCGGCAATGCCTTTGTTGACGAAGAAAAAAATGCAACATGTGTTGGCTCTATGCCAAATGCTGAAAATAATCCAGTCATGCTGTCACTGCTCCCCAGTTGCTGTGTCTGAGGGGATCATATTACCATAAACTCCTGCTAATCAGCTGCAACTCCTCTCTGAGCTGAGGAAGGAGCCCAATTAGTTGTTTATTTTGAACTCTACGATGCAATTACTTTCACGTTTTCACTTCTCTAAAGTCATTCAAACTGTCGAGGATTGCCATACTAAAGCCTGATTATCATCACTGTCATTAGCCAGTTCATTCATGCATTACGAAACGGCATTTTGAAAAATAGATGGGATGCTGTGTAGTGAATTAAAACGGTGTGGACTGATTTGAAAACCATTGAAACCCTGCTTTATTCATTGGTAATTGCAAAAGGAGAATACTCCAAATTGTTTTTTAACATATAAGCTTAAGTTGTTTTTTTATGTGAGCAAGTAGAATCAAACTGAAGTGTTATTGTGTTCATTATTCATTATTGTGCACCTTCCACTTTCTGTCAGAATTTTGGAACAGATCTCTTTTCAGTTTCCCCTTCCTCATTTCAACCCCTCCCTGATGCCTGTGGAGGCTTTGTTCATCCAGCATCTCTGCTCCATGGCAGCCATATCCCAGCTCTTGTCTTTATTCATGTCACGTCTCATCACACAATAAAGATAAGTTAAAGTCATCTACACAAATTGTATACGACCATATACAAATTAATTTTGTGCCACATTTTCAGTTGATCTAATTTCATGAAACCTTTCTTGATATTATTGGTCTGTAATGAGGACGAAAAACAAAAAAAATAAAAATAAAAATGGAAAACTGTGAGCTGCCTTCAAAGCTTTTGTTTATTCCCCAGCGCTGGTCACTGATCAGCATGAAGTCACATCAATGCTGGACACACACAGGATTTCTCTGAGTTATTTCAAACTTGCCAAGAATCTATCATTTTTAGTGACTTTGAGTTGTTGGTAAATAGTCAGTTAAAGCAAAAAATAATGCTTTATGAAAAAACTAATGAAAATTACAATAAATTCAGCTTTCCTTAAAAAAATCTGGACAAAACTTTTCAATAATCGCCCTGCTGAGCTATGCTGCCCCTATGCAGCCTCATAGCGTTTGTGAAAGCTATAAATATCTCTGTTTCTACTCCCACAACCCAGGAGCACCACCAAAGAACTCAGTCTTTCATCTATTAAGGCCCTTTGTGCTGATTCACTTTAAAATATGGGAGACAAAATCCTCAAAAGAATAAAGTAAAAGATTCTCTAACACATTTCCTCAGAAAAAACACATTTCTCTGAATGATGTCCTTTCCCAAAGTTAATATTTTACACACTGTAAGTCATCACACAGCTATTCCTCTCATAAATCATTTATTGCAGATTAATCATGAAAATAACTCGATACCCACATGTCATGTTTAATTGCACTTCTTTATATATTAACTTAGAATTGTCACTTCTAATATCAGCAACAATTAAATCTCTAAATCTTCTTGTAGTACTAATGCAATTCATGCACATTCTAATTCCGCTGGTTGAACTAAAAAATGTCCGAATCAAACGCATCCGCAATAAATTGCTAAACTGAAGGGCATTTGCTACATTACCAGATTGGAATAATGACTCTTCATCAGTAAACCTCTGGCTGTCAACTGTTGCCTTGAGACAAGTGTTTTGTTATAGAATAAAATGGTTTTCTCCAGTGTACTCAATGACTGGAGGGAGAGACCTTCAGATGTGTGCTCAAGCACAAATATGGTCAGGAAAAGGTTCAAAGAGCCCAGAAAATTACTCCTAACTACGCAGAGATGTACGATGTATCTTCACTGATAATTCTGTGGCTCGACTTATATAATTTTAGTGAATATTCTGAATTCTGCAAGAAACTGGTGTGGTATGCAAAAACTGTCAACAGGAAGATGAAAGACTGTGGATGGCTGCCAGAGGACCAACGGCATGCAACACTCTTCTGTACACCTCAACCAGTGTTAGAAAAGTGAAGCAGAAAATGGTGGACGCCTTACGTTAAAGGCACAGATGATTGCCATGAGCCCGAGACGATGTTATGATGAAGCCACAAAAACAGCTGCACTTCATTAAAAAAGGTCATGACGTCAGTGTGTTTATGAGACAGGTGTGATGAAGGAAAGTACTTCAGCTCTCACCTTAGCCGTAGTACCATGTTCACAGCGCCTTGACTGAAGGGTGTGTTCTCATAAGGTTCAACCTGTATCAGAAAACATCTGGTGATCAAGCAGTTTACAACTGTCCTGCAAAGAAAAATGAACATCTAGTCTGTTTGAAAGATTATGCGCTGTAGTAAATTTGTATTCTGTCATGTTTTTCCAGAAAAAGCTCTCATTCATTCCAGCTGCAAGGGAAGTTATGAAAGGAAAGAAAAGGAACAGTACATAAAGGTGTGACGTGTAAGGGAATAACACTGCTATCAACACTACATTTCAATTGGGCTATTTATGTTGCAAAGAATGGATAATATCTATAAAAAAATATTGCTGGATGGCTGCCAGAGTAAATTCCTGACAGGGACACAAGACTGTACCTCAAAATGTCCTGGCTCCCTTTTAAAATGGCAATAGCCTTAGAAAATGGGTTACAATGGCACTGACTCTTCAGATGAGATACACCCAGCTATTCGGCTGGCACTGTCAGGCATAGAGCCATTTACTCTGAGTTATTACAGCTGAAAGCATCCCTCCTAGAGACCCACACTATCACATGTGTACACGTGCCCATGATCCCACGCGCACAGAAAGACACACATGTAGAGTATGCACATTCAGACGGTCGCTGTGGCATCAAAGGCGTGGAATCATGGCAAATTTGTGTTGCTTGTGTTGAATCCCTCACCTGGGGATGCTGTACAGACAAGCCTTCTATAGGGATACTGTTGGCATCCTCCTCATTCTGGGAGGAACAAAATGAGAGGCATAATTGCGCAACTGCTATCACATCCATGGCAAATACAAATCAGAGCTCATCTTATAAATACAAAGCTGTTCAAACCAATGAAGAGGAGCAATTAGCTGGCCTTGTTAGACTGTGAAGCAATCTCTTGACAGTTTTCATAAAACTATTAAAAAAGATGATGTGCATAAACACAAATTAGTTTACAGTTTGAACACAAGTATCTTCCTTAATGGACCAGTTAAATACATTCCCAAAGACATTATAAAAAGTAGGAGAGAGGACATGGTCTGTTTGTCTCTGACAACTCGCCTCTTAACCAAAATGACCCAAAAAAAAGATAATTTGGTATAACTGGTGTATGAGCTGAGAAGCTAACTTACATCTTTGGCCTCATCTTTGACCCTTCGTGACTGGAGGGGGGAAAAAGATCAAAACATTTGCATGATCATATCCAGGCATTTGGCAGTAACAATGTGCATTTTTCATACCATCAAAGCCAAGAATAGGTAGGTTATACACTTTTTTCATTATTTTACACAGTGTATGTACAAATTTCTGGTTCTATGTCAAACTGCATTATTCTACACCTAATGTTTAGCATTTAGGCAAAAAAAATACAGTTCAACTCCTGGAACATAACTAAAACAACATCCCATCACCAGCGACGTATTTCTCAAATAATTACTGTTGGTAAACTCTGATTTATTGCATTAAACATTAAAGCTGTGCATCTTAATGAAAGAGTTCTTTGATCATTTTATCCTACTTTCTCCTGTCTCTAATCCTTATAGCAGTCTTTCGGCTCATTACAGTGACTTCAGGACAGACTCTCAGCCATCTGCTATCCAAAAAAACGTAGGGGGGAGGAATGTACAGTCTAAAACAGAAGGGGAAGTTTGGCATAGGTTTGCTCTTGGGTTTCACATGACAAGCAACACATTAATAAATCAGACTTTTCATGCACAAAACCTTGGTTTGTTTTGTTCAACTGTATTATAAAATTGTGTTGTTTTTCATAGGTTTGGTCCTGCGTCTTGCTTTTTCCAAGTCTTACTCACCCTGCCCCGATTTACGGCAGCTTTGCCCTCCTCGCTGCCCTCGTCCAGTTCATCGTCACTCCACTCCCAGTCCCCATCCTCCGTCTTGTGCAAATGACCACTGGAGCCTGGAACTCTCCTCACCTGAGTAGTCAGTTAAATGAAGTGAAAAATCTCAAAGGGAAATGTGAACGCTCCAGTATTTATTCATTCATTAATCACTGTGTGTGGTTAACACAAACACGTTTTTAGCACTCTTAGTTTTACAGTTGCCGTGCACGTGCCTGTGAATCACACATGGCTGCATCAGGATTAATTGGCCTTTAAATTGCAGCACTTCCTTGTCTACAGGGCATTTGCACAACTGGGGTTAAACAATAGAAAACACTCCTACTTACATGTCAGTACCAGGAATCTGACAGACATGTTCAATAATACTGCTATTGCATTTATTGATCACACATACATTTGTTTCCTGCCTGCTCACTGATTTGATTATATAATATATCATATTTTCCTTTATATCATGCAACATCTACATGGACAGTCTGAACAACTGAACCTATTTTTGACAAAAAGTTGTACAAAATCATGAACTGATAACAACACACTCTTCTGAAGCATACATTTCTAGGTGCTCTCGGCCCAACAAAGATTGTCTCACAGACAGCTGATTAATATTTCTACATTTTCTTCTGTTCTAAGTATTTCCTTTCTGAATAAAATGTGGATGCACATTTGGCACAGTGTGTTGAACACTGTCTCGTGTATGATCAGAATATAATGAGATGCAAACCATCCATCCATCCATCCATTTCCGTAACCGCTTACTCCCTAATGGGGTCGCGGGGGGACTGGGCCCTAACCCAGTAGTCAATGGGCGAGAGGCGGGTACACCCTGGACGCTTTGCCGGTCCATCGCAGAGTCACACAGAGACACACAAGGACGAACAACCACGCACACTCACACTGAAATGTAAACCATTCAAACACAATATAGAAACATATTCTAAAACTTCTGATGTTCTTTACCCCCCCCCCCCCCCCCGAGGGGCCAGAGCTTTTTTGGCAACCTACACAATATGAGACAGGAGATTGTTGCAAATGTCATCCAAATGGGATTTATCTCAGACCTTGATTACATCGATGACACCATTTCCAACCACATAGTGCACATGATTACAGCAGGAATATGTATTTCATTCTCCTATCTCAACTCTCCTGCAAAAGGTTGTCATAAAGAAACCTGTGAATTATAAAGTACCCATATTAAGGGGTTCAACTTTTGTAATCTTTCATTGCAAACAAAAGATTTCATTATAATTTAACATCTTCACTCTGTAAGTACCAGGGCTTAAATACGGCTTAGCAGCAACTGCAAATGTAACCAACACAGCAGAGCAAATATAGTAAGCAGAGCAAAGTCACAGGTAAAGCCTGTAATTTGTCACAGTTCCACATCCTGGAAAAGCATGTGAGACATTTAACACCTAGCTAGTCGAACGGTGTGGGATAAGATGAGCTCCACTGTGTTATTGAGGAAACAGCACACCAAACTATAAGCCTCCAGCACCATAAATTCCCCAGCTTCAGACAAGGTCAGAGTTAAAGGAGCACTACCCTTCAGGTGGTGTCGGGTTTACTTTCCTAACCTGACTGAGAACAAAGGCTCCTCCAGTTCTGCTCAGGGTCTTAGAGCAGAACAGATACAGATCAGTGCACTCAGCAGCCACTCATGATGACCTGACCATGTCAAACAGTCATGACCATAACTGAAATGAGAGCATTGTAACAATCAATGCGTTTTGGGTGTGTTTCTTTTTTTTTTTTTTACTCCAACTGTACTGTGATCCTGTACGTGATCTGTTTTTGAAAATCACCATAAAAAACACCCACACAGAGATCTATGAGCATTCCATTATCATTTGTTTGCCAGGACACACATTTAAAGTCAATTCATTATGTAATAAATCAATAATTCAAGTCACACTGGCCTATTGGTTAACATGAACAAATATTATGCATTGTGTGCATTTTATTGGGTGTGTCACAGTGCCCTCTGCTGGGCGTTAACTCACCTGCCCCTCTCTGACTGGGAATGAACTAATCTAATTCTTTTTAAAACATGAAAAAACCTTGTCTCTTAGGTATTTAAGAGGCAATTTCCTGTCTTTCCCTTCCCCTTCTTTTAAGCAGCATTCCTGAAAGTCTCCCTTCATTTATTAGATAACATCTATAATTACTTTATTGGTGACAGAATCTGCCATCTCCTTTTCATTCACTGGGGTATGTAAAAGGAGACGATGGCTGTGGAGCTTCACTTCTTGTCCCTTTAATACTTATTTCCTTAGGGTCAAATTGCATTTGTTCACCATGGCCACAGAATACCAGCGAGGACAAAAACTACAGAACAAGATCACCAAGGAACAGAGGAGCAACAGGAAAGAGGGGAAATATTTCGGATCAAAAATGATGGAAGACTTCAGGTGGCTGTGTGCAGACAGGAGCTGAAGAGGGAGGTTTGGGAGAAACTGAGGTCAAAAGATCCACGGATGACAGTGTTTCTAAAATATTGCTTGTCTCTGCAAGCTCTGTGTAATGTTGCTGAGTTTATAACAGAGATGACTCTAAAGGTCAAACCAGAACAAAATAGCAATGACACTGGCTTTGCTGTTCACAAATCTCCACAGCCAAAGCTATTAAGTGACTCACATATTGCTTGCATGCTGTTTTGCATTTTACGCTTTTAACAGGACTCCACACATAGAAAATAAGTGAATTCATAACAGTAGGTACTCAATTATTACACTTTTCTATTCTGGGACAGTCCATAGATTTTACTATCTACAAGCACATTTACGAGGTCCATTTTTACAATCATGGTGCTTTTTATTTTTGGTAAAGGTTTCCTGGAACAAATCCAAAACACTCATTTATTTTGTAACCTTACATAATTAGTGTGATGGCAACCGCAGGGTGGTGGCTATGCTTGATTTAGGAACACTTAATACCTATTTAACAGTTAGCACCTTTTTCTCTATGTTGCCACAAGACTGCAGTTTCAATATACACCATCAACAATATCGTGCCGCCCGGCCCTCTTTGTGCATAATAAATAACGTCACATACTGTGATGCCCATGGTGTACAGACTTTGCCCTCCACTTACTTCCAACCATGTAAGTGAATTTCCACCACTGCCCTCTGGCAAAGGCCCCCTGATCCCGACACAGATTTATCATGCGGGGCCGATATCAGCTGTGCCCCTTAAACTGCACTTCCTCTCAGCACACTGTGACCAGTGAGCAAGAAACAAATCCCAATAATGCTCCCTTCTGTTACCTAACGTTAAGAATCCATTTATCCCTGGTAGTACTCACAGGGATAGAGAGCTGCTCTTGGAGACGCTGAAAAAAGCCTCAGCGCATCTGCACAGCGGGACACTTATGTGACAATGGCCCGTATTTTTACATAATCTACACAACAGGACATGAGCCGTTTGAGGTACCGAAGAAAGCTGCAATGCACAGCTCGTGTTGACTGTAAATGTTATACTCTGATGGAGAGAGACACTTCACTGGAAGCCGTCCACAATTTATTCATGTTTATCCAATAACTGCGTAATTGTAAAGCAAATGTTTATGTAAACATACCTTCTTTGCTCTCTGAGAAATCTTTGGCGCACGACTCAAAAGCTTTTCTATCAGATATTCTTTGTTCTGGAAAATAGAAGAGCACATTTTAAAACCAATGCATTTAAACAAAACTTATGTCAAAATTCCAAAACCCTAAAGAGGTCAAATCTTTAAAGGGGTAGGCCTAATAAGGCAACAGTAGAAGGAGGAGGTTTTTCCCTTTTTGAGACTAGCAGGATTATAATATTAAGGCTTTTGGAAAAGAAATCAGCATTTTAACTATCTACACCATGTTCACCCTTCACCTCTTAAACTCCCATTCTTTTACTTTTTATCACAATCTCTGACAAACGTTTATAATTAAATGTGTACAACTAACCATAATAAATTAATATAAAGCTGCCATAGCAGAGAGCTGAGTCACTGTTGGAGCTGGCATGAAGCTACAAACATGACATGAATACCAAAACTAAATCAAGGGAGAGTGTCAAACGTTTTAGATGGAAGAAATACCTTGGCTTTTTGAAAGAATTTACACTTCAAAAGCTCAGCTGCTGTCGGCCTGGAAATGAAACAACAAAAAAATATATACATTGTTGAAAATAAATACTGGACTACGGCTAACAGACACTGACGACACACTGCATCGGTTCTCCTGACTGTAAAAACAGGCTGACATATTCAAATCGAGGCTGACCTTTTGGCAGGATCCTTCTGAAGGCACATTGTTATTAACTTTCTAAATGATTTGCCATATTTCTTGAGCATCTCCTTGTCCTCGATGCCCGTCTCTAGAGTGGGTGGATCATTCTGCAGGGTAAGCATTAAAACCTGAAAAAACAGGAAAAAAAGTCAAACCACCCTTCCCTCAGCAGCAACACAAAGACAAAGCCTACTGTAGATGAGGAAAAGAAACCCCAAGCAGGAAACTGTGGAAATGAGGTGGAAAGTAAAGCAAGCCTTCTTTAGATACACGCTGTCTTATTAGTTGTTCGGTTTTAAAACAACAGAGAAAGAAGCAAGATACAACAACATTTCACAGAAACACAAGTTTAGCATTTCAAAATTGCATGTCTAAAGATTTCATTTCCTCTTTGAGTGACAGAATACTGACCTTCATGGGAGGGTAGCGATGATAGGGAGCAGAGCCTGTGGCTAACTCTATAGCTGTAATTCCAAAACTCCATATATCTGCTTTGAAATCATAGCCCCGAACCTTTGGACATGGAATGACAATATAGCGTAATGCACACAAGCAAACAACCTTCTTTAACTCAGTGTATTTAAGAGGATGATCCACTGGAAATTTCCTTTTCAAAAGAGGAGCTTTTGTCACCAGCATTTGCCTCTGACATCAACTCACCTGTTCCATGACCTCTGGAGCCATCCAGCAAGGCGTGCCAACAAAGGTCTTTCGAACTTTGTTTCTAGTCATATCCCCCCCTGTTGCTAAGAATGCACTAACTCCAAAATCTACAAAAAACAGAACAGATACAAGCATTGTTCCTTTTTCGAAAATATAATCAAGGTTGTGTTATATTGCAAACTTACACTTTTAGTTCAGTTTTAGTGTTGTTACTTCTCAGCATCATCTAAGTTTATTATTTTTTCTGCTTTTTTTTATCTGCTTGACTGTTTCTGATTCTTACTTTTGAATTAGAACAGAGGTTATTTAAACAGCATGGCTATGAAGAAGTCTGTAATGTCTGTACAACAGGGGGATATTTTTCCTAAGGAAGACGCCACTAATGAAACGACTTAAATGCTTCATTTGCAAACCATGCTTTTGTTCCTTTACTTAATGAAACATCACATCTGCATAATGTGTGCCTGATGGCTAGATGAGCACGACTAAAACGAGGAACGAGCATTTTTGACCAGTCAGGTGACCATTCAGAGCTGACAGGCCCTTACAGCAGAGAGTCCCTAAAGACAAAGGAGCTGAAGGGATATGATTTTAACAAAAGAAGAAATAATGTGCGTTTGGAGTACAAAAAGACAGAAACGTATTCATGCTATTCTAGCGGGAATTCTAGGTCAAATTGTAAGCCTATAAAATAGCCCAATACCAGCTCTTCTGTCCAACCATAGACAGGCATGACGGAGTGTAATATTACAGCAGAGCCGTGTTCAACAAACCTGCGATCTGAACAGATCCATCCTCGCCCAGCAGTATGTTGCCAGCTTTCACATCCCTGAGTACAACAAAACAAAAACAGTGAAACCCAGAAGTCACGTGCAGCAGCATTGACTTTTCCATTCATGCTAACGAGTCCCACTGACCATCACTATCTAGCTCTCTGCCCGAGGGGCTGATTAAGCTTTCTGCTTGGGTCTGAGTGACCTTGAAATTCAGGAAGTGCTCACAACATCACAACTGACCTGAGGCCCATTAGCTGAACACACATTCATTCACTTTAAACTGGTAGATTCGTTTACAGACATTATTTTGCTATTAAACTCTTAAAGAGTCACCGGGTTCTAAATTTCCTGCAGACACAGAGCACAAAACAAAGAGGAGAATCGTAGAAAATTTGAAGCGATACCTGTGAATCTGTCCATTTCTGTGCAGATAGTCAAGGCCCTCGAGAACTTCTTTCAATATAGTGGCAATGATTGGTTCATCTAATGATCGATTTTTTTCATCTTCTTTGTTCGAATGCTTAATTATATCAAGCATAGAGCCTATAAATGAACAAGAAAAACAGTCAGTTTATTCTTTTACTCATTAATGAGGCACAGACATCTGCTAGTCTTTAACCCGAAGACTAATTAATATTAAGGCAGCATTCTACACTAATCAGAGCACCTCTTATTTTACTTTCTTTACATCTTGGGGTCGTATCAACCCCAACCAATGATTACAGCAAAACAGTGACATGATACTGATTAGGTATTAAGACAAATGTATTTAATGTCAATGTAATTAATACAGTCGGTGCACAACATGTGTAAAGCAGTGCCAGGATAAGCCATTTATATGTGGTAAAGTCTCTTTTTTTATTTTACTTTTATCTTTTATATGAAGTAAAGTCTTACTAAATTAGCAATAAACTCACCTCCACTCAGAAGTTTCATGACGAGCCAAAGCTCGTCCTTCACAACAAAGGAGGTGTAGTATGTAACAATGTTTGGATGGTTGCACTGACTCATTGCTTGGATTTCTTTCTATTTATGGAGACAAAAGACAAATGATGTGTGCTATCTCAGTCTTAACAAGAACTTTTCTTTTCACATTATCATCTGTAAGAAGAAAAGTTAACGGCAGCGAATTCTTTCAGGGTATTTGTGCCAGCGTGCAGTTAATAATTACTTTCTTTTTTCTTTCTTTTTAAAGAATGACATGGATATTGGGCAAAGTAGCGGGGAACGCATCACAGAGAGAGAAAGAGAGAAAAACACGTGGCTGACAAAATCGCCCATATTTATTGTACTCACCAATAGCTCATCCATGCTGGTCTGGCACTTTTCCAGGTTGATTCTCTTTATGGCCACGCGCTCCTGTCTGGGGGTACAGAGGGCTGCCTGCACAACAGCTGTGGCCCCGCTGCCTGGAATCACAGCCATAACACAGCAACAACAAGGTTGACATGGGCCAAGAGGGATCCACATCACACACAGCTGGAATCCTCATCCTCACCCCGTTGATTTACGCCCCGACGTGGGCTTTTGTGTTGAGGTTATGTCTTTTGTGTATGAAAGCATGAAAAATAAGGCATAACATACAGTGATTGATGGTATATGTTATTTCAAACATAAATCAGACTGTGCGGTGGGGTAATAGAAGTGCTCACACAGAGATGCTGTAACACACAGCCTGCTACCGGCCAGCTGTTGGGGACAGATAAGGCGCAGTCAATAACATGTGAGTTCTCACTGTTTAGAAGTTGATTGTGAGCAGAGAGAGGGGTGGTCTCCCTAACTCATCGCAGTCAGCAGCACACAGCTGTAGCGGAACGCCTTATCTCTACTGCTATGGCTTGTCAGCACATCTGCATAGTACAAACAGATGTCAAAATTATTTCACAGTAATTCTGAAGTAACTGCTGTTGTTTTAGTTGTTTTGCTGGTTTGTTTGTTTTGTGGAGTAAATTAATTAAGGTATAACAGCTAGTATGACCAGTATTATATATCCAACACAGGTTCACGTGTCTCTAAATATTAGATTATTTTTGTTTTTTAAAGTCTTAAAGAAAGTCCAGTGTGTTCCATACATCGATCATGTACACTTAAGTCAACATACCTCCACCATGTGTGATACGGGAAGAGTCTGCATGTTTTAGGTGTAACAAGTGATCACTGAGGCCCCACACCAGAACAACTGGTCCGGCCCACCATTAAGTTTCATAACTTACCACCTGCTTCACAATTTAACGCAAACCTAAACACAACCACCCCCCTGACAAAGATGGATGAGACATGTAACCTTCTAACATGCCAGACATGAGGGTTTTATTACACATTTGGGGAATAAATCCCTCATAGGAGAACCGGTAACTTGTCCCAGAGAGTACTAGGGATAACTTATTTTCAACTTGTAACGTTTGTATCTAAAAGCAGTATCAATAACTTTTCAGTCTGAAAAAGCTTTTTGGTAAAACTTTTTCATTCTCTAAATAGGTACATGAATGTAGAACCTTTGAGAAGCCCCATACAGATTCATCTGTTTTGTTCATGATATAAACACTTCCACTGTCTTCATCTTAATCCCTGGAGCTAATACTTTTTATGTGATAATCTGGGGAAGTGATTTTCTCTCCTTACCCGTTTGGGCTGATTTGACATAAAACGCATTTTGATTTCAGTCGTAACTAATAAAGCGGACACGTGCTGGGATTCTGGAGTGGCTGTGTAAAAAAAAAATCTCTGACGCTGAGAAAAAAGCGACTGGTTCAGGGTGACATTTACACGCCACGCAAAAGAAAGAAGGGGGAGAAAGAAAGAAAAAAAAAGAACCCTATTCCGCCTTGTATGAACACATCTGCTGAAAACCGGTAGTCTGACTCTTGTCTGTTAACATCCGCATTGCAAAGCAGTGTGAGGAGCTGCAGCACAGGGGGGAAAAAGCCGGTAGGCCCTGCTCGTCCTTCCTCCCGGCGGATAACCGGGCTGTGTCTCGGTGATAAAGAGCAGGGCTCCTCTGTCCACTAACCTATGACTTCCTGCAGCTCGTACGACTCTCTGGTAATTGGCCAGCTGGTTGTCACCGGCGGTGGCGGGTGGTGGACGGGAGTCGGAGAGTCGCCTTGGTCCGCCATGATGAGGATGATGAGGATGGTGAGGGTGATGATGATGATGATGATGCGCAAGTTTGGCAGCTTCTCGGACGGAGTGGCGAGCGGGGAAGGCAGAGCGACAAGTTGGCCCCTCGCCTCCTGGGTGGAAGCGTCTGCTGGCAGCCGCGGCTCGACAACCACTGCCCACACACCACACTGACTGAGCGCAACCCGGAAAATAACGGAACGCACACATGCGCGCGCGCACTCACACACATGCGCTCACTGGAAGACATGCCAGCTGACTACGCGATGTGTCACCGCACGCCGAAGGACCTCATTTTTTAAAATCACTATTCGTCCTCCAAGAAAGCCCGTACGCTTTAAGCGGAGTCATTTCAACTCAGTGTTTGTATTTAGATGATAGATTAACCATCCATTGAAAAACTCTGTCAGGATTTGGATTTTTATTATTATTCGTCAGGGGAAAGTACTCGGCAGCTGTTTTGTGTTACTATTAGAGTGTTACAGACACGTACAGTATGTTTGACGGTTTGTGAGTCACTGGCTGACCTGAAAGTGAAGATGTTCACTTTGGCCAGCAGAGGGCGCCATCACACCAATGTATAGGCTTCAAACTGTAACATATCTAAAGCTTTGGAATAATTTTGTACTTTCTTACACTAACATTTCATAGTTCAAAGAGGTCAAGTGTAACTTAAAGAAAGAATGAAAACATGTATTTGGTGTTTGCACAGTATGGTGACGCTCCTGTTGAAGACATTGTGCTTTCATTTCCCAGCAGAGGCCACATAATTAACTCAGTGAAGTCCTCCTATATTTAGTCTCACTTCCTGACAGCTTCAAAAGGAAGACTTTTTGGTTTTGCACAGATGAGATAACATCAAAAGTAGGTGGTGAACTTGTGGTGAACACATGATGAGAAGTGATGATGTACAGATGTACAGATAGTAAATGCCCTTCAGACTGATGCATATAAAAAATAAAGGGAGAAAAAAGTTCAATTGGTCTGTATTACTGCAACATTTTATACGTAAGAATTGTTGTTGGCCTTAAAATTAGATGTTTTTCTATGGAATCCATTTTATGTTAAATTTTAAATAAAATCAAATTGATTAAATGTCCTCCTACCAGCTTTGTGCTTGTTAGCTTTATGCAGTGGGTAACAAACTGGAGTGGTCTGCTGACACACTAACTGCTAAGAAAGGTTAGTTCTGTGGTAGGCAGAGGGCTGGACCTCAAGTACTGTGCTGGTGAAGCACATGAGGAGGAAGTTGTATTTTGCTCTGGAGTATAATGAACTGAGAGGCTGCAGGACTGAGAGGTTCAGGAGGTCCTTTCTGCCAACAGCCATTAGGCTTTTATCGGTAGAGGGGTAAGGAGTGTTGAATGGGATTAATGGGCCAGGTAACCACCAGGATCTGAACCTCTATTTGAAACGTTTGCAATCATAAAGACTCACTAAACCACCCCAAAAATTAAAATGAATATTTCACAAAGGGAGTAAATATTATCTCAAGGGGAAAACATCTATTGGAAAAAAAAACATATCCCATTTCCAATGCTCTTAACACAGCTGTGAGCTGAGTTGTTATTGGCAATATATTCCCAGTTTTTATTCTAGTTGCGTATCACTATCACACCGATAGGGGGTAGAGTTTACCCAGCATTTCCAGTGTGCTTTAGCCCTACATAGCCTAATACTATTTGTCTGTGGCTTCAACGGAAAACGATCCGTTCGCCTTTGTCCTGTTTTGAGGTGAAATCTCACCCGGGAGGCGGGTCATGGTGGGCTGCTGTCACATCCGTCCCGAATAAACCTATGCAAATCTAATGCGTTATCATAAAATACGTCTGGTCTGCCGAGGGCACGTCACGTCAAGCGGAGCGTCACTGCGATGTTTGCCTCCGAAAAATCTCGGTTCCGTCTCCATCGGGCCGTGGTCCAGCCGGCGGAGCGCGCGCTGGCTGTGTGACTGCGTGACATTTCAACGCACCAATCAGCCGCTGAGGAGCTGATTGAGTCTACTTCCCTGCGCCGGGATAGCTGAGGGGAAACGGACGGACGGCGGCCGCACACGGATATATCTGCTCAGCAGCCGAGTGGGACCGCTCGTGAGAGACCTCGGAGAAAACGGCTCTATCCCGACCCCCGTCCCGGACCCTCGCCGCTGCCCGCTGCTCGGAAATGGCCGGTATTTTGGCCTGGTTTTGGAACGAGAGGTTCTGGCTCCCTCACAACGTAACCTGGGCTGACTTAAAAAACACGGACGAGGCGACGTTCCCGCAAGCCGAGGACCTGTATCTGGCGTGTCCTTTAGCATTCTGCATCTTTATGATCCGGCTGGTCTTCGAAAGGTGGGTATACGGGCGCGCGCGGCACCGCGCAGGTGGCCTCGCGAGGCAGTTTAGCGGCGTCGCGAGGCGCTCAGGTGAAGGATGCGGCACGCGCCGCTGCCCCGAACAATGGCACGTTATCTGGTTAGCCCCGCAGACCGCCGCGGGTGTCCGTCCGTCTCCTGCAGGCCTGCGGCGCCGGCTGCTCCTGCAAGGTGCAGCCGAGTTCCCCCTGCCTGTCCGGTCCCCCCGTCCTCCAGTCCACCAGTCCCCCCGTCCCCCCGTCCCCGTCCCCGTCCCCGGAGCCAGATCCCGGCTCAGCGTCGCAGAGCCAGACGGACATTTCTCATCGCGCTTCTGCTCAGACCTGACGCTGTGTTGCGGTGATGGTTGCCTCATCCTAACTCAGTCTGTGACCCCTCAAAGATGAGCTTGGTGCTCAGTCGTAATGATCCCTGCAATGCCTGCCAAGGGAGTCTCTTTTGGAAGGAGTGAGCGATTCCCCAGAATAAAGACTTTTCTCATGCACAGCACTGAGAAAAAATCTACTGAATCTGAGATAAACAATCTGACAAGCTGAAATTCAAAGGGATCCGTTGGTGATATGGTGTTCACGCATAGCCCACCTGTTTACTTTAAGAATAGTTTCCACTCTTGTTGGGTTTTTTTTCATAGAAAGTTGATAGTAAACAGCACAACACAACATTTTGACAAAACCGTGTCAGGCTGCCGGCGGCGGAGATGCTGAAATGTTGGTGTGGAATAAAAGAGGAAACTGTAGCAGAGAGAAGCACTTGCCTCAGAGCACTGATAGACATCTGCCACGTGTCTCATGCAGGTTTTGTTTGTTGCAGGTTCATTGCGCGGCCGTGTGCCATGGGCTTGAAGATCCAAGCCAACGGGCCCCAAAAAGCACAGCCCAACGCCATCCTGGAGAAGGTCTTCACTGCTATAACCAAGGTGGCACCCACGTTCTTTCTCATACGTGCCGCATGCTTAGAAATTGCCCCGCGACGACTCATATTAATCTGAAAACGTGTGGTCTTTCCTGCCAGCACCCAGATGAGAAGAGGCTGGAGGGCCTGTCCAAGCAGCTGGACTGGGACGTGCGCACCATCCAGCGCTGGTTCAGGCAGCGCCGCAACCAGGAGAAGCCCAGCACGCTCGCCAGGTTCTGTGAAAGCATGTAAGCCAGCCTAACTTATTATGAATTTAAACAAAGCACGGGTAAGTACATCCATTGCAATGGCCACAATACCTGCTGGATTTGTACCTTTGCGTTCTGGACCTGCTGAGCCTGAGCTGTCCAGCTGGTGTCAGCGAGGCCCGATTTGAATAAACCCTTCGGTTTTGCCACTCATCAATTATAAACCCAGTGGCGGTTGTTTAAATAGAAATAATGAATAACCTTTGCCTGAGCGGAGTTTTTAAACTTCTGCGCCTTCATTTCCATACAGGATGGAAACAGAGGTCAGACCTGTGGCTGACCAAGAGAAACAGCTTTGACAAATGGAATCTATGGAATAGAAGTTCAGGGGAGCTGGAGTTTAAAATGGTCATTACATTTCCTGAAAACTCAGAGTAAAGTGCTCGTCTTGTTGTTTTGTCTGGCCCAGTGTGGTGGCAGACCACAGCTATGAATAAAGCAAAACGAGAGGCATCGGAATGGAGCAAAGCACAGAAATAACTGCATTGTTTGAAGGCGCTTTCATTTTTTAGCGAATCTGTTCTGGATCTTGTGTCGGTTCAAGGGATTATGACATGGTTATTGTTCCTGCTGTGTCTTAATAGTAAAACGTGTCCCAGTCCAAACTAACAAACCCACTTTAAGTCTGCAATAGAGAACTGGCTAATCTGCAGCAAAGCCGTCGCCATCAGGGAGATTGTAGTCACTTACCACGGCCATGTCAGAGGCCAAAGAGCAGGCTTTACTGTGGGAGCAGAGTCATGTCTGACGCCGGCGGAGCAAATCTGCCAGTTTGAGACACAGGGAGCCTCACCTCTTCTGATCCGCCCGAGGCTGCTGTTCACACAGGAGAGCACACTCTGCTGATTAGACCACCGGACAGCCTCACACAGGAATCTGAAAAGGCAAACACGCTTCCTCTTGCACAAGAAGGGATTGATTTTAATGTTCTTCTCTAAAATGTGTGGGCTTTCTGAACATGCTTAGCTGGCTTTCATTCTGTTAGAGGAACGCTGAGCCAAAGCCGTTATCTTCCTTCAGCATAATTGCCAGCAGACACCATTTGGCTTTTGCGGTAGTTGGTCCAGGTTGATGCGGGCCTCCAGACTGGGCTGGCTTCAGTGCCTCCAGCAGCGATTGTGCCGTAATTATGCCCTGTTTCCCAGCTGCAGCAGGCTGATAGGATTCTTTGTCTCTTAGAAGGCTGATCAGTTGTCTATTCTGTTAATTATGCAAAGATTATGTTCAGGCCGATTTGACGAGGGAATAATGAAGACTCTGCCCGGAGTTTTTGTTTACAAGCTTTTGTGATAGACTCTGTTCACAACAGAAGAATACAGCAATCACGTTTAAGTTTGTTTTTGTTTCTCACTGAAATCTAAAATAAGGCAATTTTGTGAAACGAGTGAAATATTTAAAGAACTAGTTCAGCTTAAAAAAACATGAGATGATTAATCAGAGCTGGTAGTTTTTTCAGTGAGGACGTGCTGTTTGATTTATTCTTCTCTTCAGCTCTCCTCTGATAGAACAGCAGCCTCAAACAGGAGTACACTGAGTGATGTCGGGGCATAAATATGCAATAAGTTATTAATGGAGTTTAAGATTCTATTCATTCTATGAGACATCCAGATGAGCTAACTCATCACGACTAAACTCTTGTCCTTTTTTCTTATTGAACTCATAGTCTTCAAACAGGGGCTAAGAGGCAGGTCTACATTTTTAGACAATTACCTTATCCAGACACTGTTTCACTTTTCAATTATTGTTCAAACTATTTCTCAGTGGGCTGTCCTTAAAGTCATGCCCCACCTCACAGTGTCAGACTTAAGAAAACTAGAATCTTCTTCGAAGGCTCAGTATGCTTTGGGTATACCATTAAGGTGTTCTTGAAAAAAAAATGAAAGGGGTTAATCCAGTCTTAATTTACCCTTAGAAATCCTCTCTGATTTAAGTATGAATGGAAAGTTCATCTTAAATTCCACAATTTGAATGTGTGTCAGTAAAAACTGACTGATGAAAGATGGAGCTTAGAGACAGTGCCTTTATCAGGAGTCATTACATAAACCTACAAAAATCATGGGTGAAGAGAGTTCACCATCACAACCAGACTTAACTCTTTTAAACGTGACTAATAACTTCACAGTACTAATGAATTAAAAGTATAACTGGCACGTTGCTGTTACATAAAGTGCAGGAAAATTGACGGCAGCTCTTAGATGATTAAATTACTCCTGGCAACCAATTATCTGCATAATTCCTGAGAAAGTAACTCATAGTGACAAAAACATCCATGCCTGACTTCAGAAAATAAATCTATTTGAGGTAAGCAGTTGTGAGTCATTGTGATTGCACATACATAGCATCAATTCAGCTGCACTTGAAAAGACTCTTGCGGGTTTGATCAACCAGTTGCCATGCAACAGTCTTAACTGCGTACCAGGTAGACTTGTCCACTTAATTTGCTTTTACAATGCTTTTGATCAAGTACAGAGAGCAACTAATGACATGGTCAAGAAAAAATCTCCTGGAGGTTGTCCATTAAAGAGTTTAAACTAGATGTGCTGGACAGAAAGATGATTTGTCATTAGTGTTTCTCCATTCAGGTTTTCAGCCCATGCAGAGCTTTGGGACTGTGAAAAGTTAGTGTCACGTGACAGGCTACGTAGCCTCTGTCACAGCTTTCAGTGGATGTTTCCTTCCATGTCACACAAGCTGATCTCTTTCAGAGCCTCTGAATGTACAAAAGTGGTGGATGCACACTGAGGCGATGCACCGCACAGTAAACCTGTCAGAGCACAGAAAAGGGCTCAGGTTAAGATAACAATGACTTTACGGGAACAGTTTTATGTGGCTTTGTTTCACTGCTTTTGATATTATTGCGTTGGGTTTGACAGGCAGGACTTTTTCCAGTCAGCCCTTCACTTCTCTCTTGGTCTTGCTGACTCTTATAAGTTGACCATATTCACTATGCACATCGACAACATCAGCAAAGTCATTGATCTGCGCCGTGTCAGCTGAGGCAGTTTGTTCAGAGCAAAGCAGAAAGCCTCACCTTGGGATTACTTTTTCTGTGTAGCCGTGGGTACTGGAAATTCTGTTTAGTTTTATATGAAACACAGAGAAATGCAGGCAGGTTAATGGACCTCCCAATGAGGATGCCAGTAATGCCCCATTTTCCCTGATTCAGTTTGTGCTACAGACTAAGGGGAAGTTTGAGGACCACATAGTGTATCACGCTGTTAAGCCCTGGGGGGAACTACATCAGCACTATATCACACAAGTTGTGTTAACCTAAATGTCCCCAAGTGGTTTTCATGTTTTCCCATGCATCATTATATTCTCCCTCAGTAGTGCCTCCAGACTGTAGTGATTCAAAAACCCTTGAGGACAAAAAAGGCAGAAGATAGAAATATCTAAGAGATAACAGCTTAAAGCAGCTGTTTACTGAAATACTGTAATATATTCAACGGTTAATGCATCAAAGCAAAAAAGATAATTACCAATTCATCTTCTTCCCATATAGAACAGGGAAAAGAGAAGAAATAACTCTTTAACTCAATATTTATTTGTAATTATCATTGTTATTCTTTTCAGGTGGAAATTTACATTCTACTTGTACATTTTTACCTATGGAGTACGCTTTCTAAAAAAGGTAAGTTTTCCTTGGCACCACCCTCCTTCTAACATTATTATTATTACATTTAAGCTGTGTTGTTTGAGGAGACAGTTTGCCCTTTTTTCATTTCTTGGCAATTCAAGTTGGTTAAAGGGTTCAGGTAATTAAAACATATTAGCTCCAAAGCCCAATGTAGCACTTAAATGATTAGAAGTCAGTACTTATTTATGTCCTGTTAGTGGGTGATAACATAACACAGGAAGGATGAGCACTTAATTATCATGAGATAGAAACCAACTTCCAACCATTTATGCAATGTTTACACACATTAAAATCAGATTACAATCCTACTCATTGCTTGAAGTAATCACAAGGTTTTGTCATTATACGAAAATACAATTAATATGAGAAGTGGTTTTATTCAGTTTTACGTTTTTTAGATATTTTCCAGTACATTAAACCAATCAAGCACCTGTAATTCTGAATAAATCATAGTGCAACCTTTTATCTACGTTAAAAGATGATGACTTTGGCTTTAGCTACCAAATCTCATGCTTTAGCGGTGGCATTTAGCTGCAGCTGCAGCTTGTTCACCTCGGTAATGCTTTTAAAATGCCCTTTATATCCACTTCATTCTTCACCAGTCCCCACTCCTTAGTAAAAACCATTGTACTCTGCATTCCTGCACAGTGTGTAGTTATTTGTGTATCAGGGTGCTCAGAGCATCCAAATACGGCTAGCCAGAGAAGTTACAACAAAAAGGCACATGTGAACATTACTGACATGAATATAAGACTAAAATAGATATATATTTCATATATTCTTGAATGTACACTGTGACAATTCACAGCAGTAGTTGAGCAAGAGATATCTCTCATAGACACAAGTTGCATGACAAAGCACTTTGTGGAAATAGTTCACTCCGAGCAGTGGCTGCTGCAGGCACCAGCCTCTAGCCTCTGTGGGATTTATTAATAGAGCAGGTCTGGAAACAGTGCAGGAGACATCAACTAAGACACAGCCATCGGTCAGTTTGCTTATTATTGGTTTCACGGTTATTTAGAGCAATTCAGGTATAAACTATGGCCTTTGGCAGTTTGTCCTCTAATACAGGAAGCGTAGGTGCTTTTTGTAATTTAGCATTAATGCACACTAGATTCAGAACCATTAGTGTCAAAGTCTCAATTTTGAGTGCCTTTTGTTTTTTTGCAGACCCCATGGTTATGGAACACTAAAGAGTGCTGGTACAACTACCCTTACCAGGTGAAAGTTTGCACAGTTTCCACGAAGGAGCATTATCAAAGCTTGTCAGATGTGGTTTTGAAAATATTTGCTTTGTCTGTCTGTGTGCAGCCACTGACTGTGGACATCCATTATTACTACATACTGGAGCTGTCTTTCTACCTGTCGCTACTCTTCTCCCAATTCACAGACATCAGGAGGAAGGTGAGAGTGAATGCATCTCATACAATAATACATCCATTTTCAGGAACAAATCAAAAAAGACATTTTGCTCTGCTTTAAGAGTTCTTAGTTTTTTGGGTTTTTTTAGACCGTGCCTTTCTGGCTATCGCCTCCCAAAATATCTGCTGAGCAAAAGGCTGTTTGAGGTTGACAAGTGTGTTATTTTTCACCATCATACATGCATTCAAAATTAAGTATTTACATTCGAGAATTTAGATTTCATACAAGAATCAGATAAGGGTTCAATAATTATACTTTATGTATATTGCACAAGGAACATTCGCTTTAAAGGTCCAATTAAGTCAGTGTTTGTAAGAACTGAACTTCTGTGTTTGTTCATAGAAACACTGGTGTCTGGTGTCTTACCAAATTCATCCCACTCCATTTTTTATTTTTCATTTTATGAAAATGGCCATACTTTTACTTTTACGTAGCATCAATTTGCATGCTTTCCAGTCACAGTCTTACTCCTGCTTGTGGTCCATCCCAGCTCTGCCCTCTCCACACTACACTGCTCCCACAGCGGGCTCCATGATGTCATAGGCCCTCACCCTGTCATCTCTCTGTTGACTGTTGGCATGTTGTCTGTTTTTTGTTTCTCCTTTCAGTTTTTTTCATGCACAGCACTACACTGAGGAGGTCCTCTGCATCTCCCTGCCACTTCCAGTATGTTTCTCCCTGCACACTCTTGCCTCGCTTTCACTCTGCAACTTGTGTCATTTCTCCTTCTTTTCATCCTCCCTCTCACTTACTTGCCTCATTGGACTGGTTTTTAGTGCCTTGAGCTGTCATCCAAAGTCTTTTCAGTAGCTAAAGATTTACCTGAGAAGTGCTTTCTCGTGTTCCTCTTTTCATCTGTAGTCGTTTAGAGCTCTATTCAGACCCACTTCAAATTCAAAGGGTTTTTACCAAGGAGGGAGTTAACTTAACTGTCATGCATTATCACTAGTTATTCACTAATCACAGGTAATCAATATTATTCAGGTTAAGCTTTAATGCTTTCTCATATTCTCTCCAAAAACATTTTGCTTTTGGCTCAATTGCAACAAGAATTACAGCAAGTGAAGCGGAGAAGTTTGCAGTTTGCAGCAGTTCTATTTTTTCTGACGAGAAGAAGCTTTACGCGTTTTTTAAAATAGCTATTGTCCAGTTTGATGTACAATAACACAGAAGACCTTATTTCTACACCACAAAGTTCTCCCAAAGGCTTTTTTTTGCTTAATTTGCTATATTTAAGACATGCATTGATGTTTTAAAACCTGCTTCTTCAGCTGTGTGATATTTCCTTGTCGATTGCCTCCCCAGGATTTCCTGATTATGTTTCTGCACCACGTGGCAACAATCTCTCTCATTATATTTTCCTACGTGAACAACATGGCACGGGTGGGGACTCTGGTCATGTGTCTCCATGATGCAGCAGACGTGCTGATCGAGGTGAGGATGTCCAGGACAGCTAAATGCAATAGATGGATGGGTGGACGTGCAGCTGAAAATGACCGCCTGTCAGTGGCGCACATGAAATGTGTCCTGGTCTTTTCAAAATGTGCTCCTATGCTGTGAGAATGACTGGGGTGTAGAAGATGTGATATAAACCATAGAGAAAACATCCTTTAAATGTCCTTTCGGCATTTTCCACTTGTTTTTACTTTTTCCACTGGTACTTCATAGTAATTTTTGCTCTTTTTAAAAAGGAAAAGGAAAATATCTGACACATAAATCTAAGAGATTGAGCTTGGTTGAAAGAAGCTCCTATAAGGATCATAGACCTTTATGATTTAGGGCTGTAGCTTGTTCACAGTCAAAGGCCAAATTATGCTTTTTTTTAAATCTCTTTGATCACCCTACCCCTCGGTCTCAGCTCAGAATACAAAGCATAGCACCTCATCTCTCAGACATGGTGGTGCCTTTGCTTCCATATTTGGCATGTATTTTATGGCTGTTAATGGCACACCGACATTCATTGATTTTATTGTTGACAGAAGAGGGAGGGAGGCAGAGGTGTGCAGCAGCACTGCATGGATCCATTCAGCCGAATAGAGCAAAATTAATTTGACAAAATCACGCTTACTCCTCAAGATAATCCTAAAGTAATGATCCTAACTAAACTCTAGCCATAGTCAGGTGAGCAGTGGTTGTGGCTCAGTCAGTCATCTGATTTCCTGATCAGTCACTTGACCCATGCCTCTCAGCATTAATCAGACAACAGAGCAAGCAAACACCAAACATGGCAGCATTAAAGGCAATAGACCACCCCCAAAAAAGATACAAAGTAAGAGATATGATCTAAACAAAAGGTTTTCATGTGTATATACCTTACTTTGCTAAACTTTATGCATCTCTTAGACAAACTTGACCTCTCTAAAATCTTTTAATCATACCATGGACATAAACCTGTATAGATGTGCAGGGTGAATAATACTACCTTTGATTTTGACTACAAAAGAAGGCAAAAAGGAAATTAATGAATGATTATTCTTTTTATTGCCATAACCTAGGCTGCCAAGATGGCCAACTATGCCAAATGCCAGATACTGTGCAACCTGCTGTTTGCAATGTTTGCAATTCTCTTCATGACCTCCAGGCTGGGAGTTTACCCCATCTGGTAGGTATTATTCACTTTTTCATGACCCGTAGTTAGTATTATTCTAAGACTCTTTGAATTTCAGTAATGTTGGGCAGTTGCATTTGAATACAGAACAGCCTTCACTGGACGTCAGACCTTCAATTTTCCAACAGATTTTTTGATTCCCATGCTTTGAAATTACATGTTGGAGTTATCAAGATCTCAGTTGCTTTTTTCCCCACTTTCTTTCTTCTGACTCTGCAGTGGTTAACAGTTCAGAGAGACCTCTGTGAATTTTGTTGCTAAGTAATGGTTACTATGGATACAGCTTTAACTTCTCAAAGAAAGCCAAACAATTCAGCTCACGAAAAGCAATCATTTTGGTGTTTGGTCTTTCACAGCAAAACAGTCTTTGCCTGGATTTAACAGGTAAAACATCAAAGAAGCGTCATTAAGATTCCTGATTTTTTTTTTCTTGCTTGTTTTTTCTTTTGTTTTGAGAGGGAGGGAAGGGGAGTTTACCTTCATCATGAATTTAGTCAGCACTTCAGCTTATCGACAATATTTCTCCTCCCAAGGGTAAAAACAAGTTGAATCCAATTCTGAAGTATAAATACGTTTTTTTAGAATTGAAAATGAAGTCTGCTAAATGTATAAACATAAATTCCTGGGGAAAACCAAATGTTTGGTCATTTTTAGTTATATTTGCAAACCATATATCCAATCTTGGTATTTGTCCATATATATATACACATTATATCCTGTTGTTTTGGAAGGATTTTGAATACCACATTGTTCGAGAGTTGGGAGATAGTAGGGCCCTACCCCTCCTGGTGGGTCTTCAACCTCCTTCTGGTCCTGCTCCAGCTGCTCCATTCCTTCTGGTCCTACCTCATAGTGAAGACAGTCTGTAGAGCCATCTCCAAAGGAAAGGTGAGTCACTACGTTTGATCCCTCCTCTGCATCATTCCTCAACTTGTACCTGTGGTTGGATCATACAGTAAAGTGTTTTGCTGAGTCAATGATTGTTATGCAGTGTTTTAAAATAACCGTTGTCTTTTATATGTCTGTTCTTTATTTTCTCCTGTAAACTTCAAGGTGGGGAAATGGAATCCTTTACATGTGAGTAGCCCTAAAGGGGGACAGTTTGGTCAAATATGATGCATTTTGTTTAGTGTTACCTTTTCCAATATGATCACTGAGTTTAACACCATGCTACTATAGAATATCCATGGCATCCAGTTTGGTTAAATGGCCAGCATTCCCTGGACGTATATTACAGCCTGTCGGTGAACACAAAATACAATATATTTGCTTTTTTAAACTTTAAAATCTACTCTAAGATCTTCATTGTTCTTAATATTATTGATTTATCTAAGCCAAAAACTGGTATTTTGTGATCTGACATTCGCTTTTCACTTGAGACAGTAAGTCTCACAATAATCCAGCTCCGATACAAGAAATGTATCTGAAGCAAAAGCCCCTCTTACTATATTTAGATACATAAAAAATGTCTGAGATACAAAAGAAATATCAAGACACACTTTTCCTGAAAATAAAATAGTGTCATAATAAAATGGTAAAAATTTGATCTCAATTAAAAAAAAACCCTCAGGTTCCAAAAATTGGACTCATACTGTCTGACCTTTAAAAAATGCATGAGAAAACAGAACAATAATCAAGATATGATAACATAATAGTTGAATTTTGAGCCTGGAAATAGATTCTACAGCTGCTGGCTTGATATTGATTGGCAGAGCTCATCTTAGTTTGAGTGCAAAATCAATTTATAGCACTGCCATGCATGGCTGCCACAGATAATGACACAGATAAGAATTTTAATGTGAAAAATGGAATCTCCAAACACCCGTTTAATTTCGGCAGGTGTCTAAAGACGATCGCAGCGACATCGAGTCCAGCTCTGACGAGGACGACAGCCCCCCACCCAGTCAGAAACACCACAGCAGCTCCACCAATGGGACCAACAAAAATGGGACCAACGGCTACCTGATCGGAGCCCCGTATCACAGTGAACACTGACTAAGCAGATGATGCATGAATGGAGCCATGCTACAGACCCCATCCATTTATCTTTGTGTGTGTGTGTGTGTGTGTGTGTGTGTGTGTGTGTGTGTGTGTGT